CTGTTGCTCCTGCCAGGTCGCCCTCGGTTGCTTCCACGTGTTGGGTGGCCAAGAGGTCAGGCCAAATCTTCCTCCATCAATTGCCCCCCACTCCTCGCGCTAAGGGTCTTGTCTTGGTGCGGGGAGTTCGCGAGGTGACGGGTGGATTTGACCCGTACTTCAATCGGTTGATTGATGGCGTGAAGTGTGCGTATGTTAGGAGATTTCCGGATTCCACGAGCGCCAAAAAGTCAGAAAACGCGCCAATCTGTCTTTAAATGCTGGGAGATGTGACGGTGGGCATTTTATTTCAAATTCAAAAAACGCGCCACTGTTGCCTTCAATGCTGGGAGACGTGACAGCGGGGGTTATTTCAAATTTGAAAAACGCGTTGCTGCCGCCTTCAATGTTGGGAGACGTGCGCCGGCGCTGCTTCGGTTTCCAAAGACGTGCGGCCAGCCACGTCTCGATCTTAGGAGGCGTGCGGTCAGCTTGATCGTGGGCCGTTGGATTTGCCTCGATCAAAGCCGTCGGTTTTCGGTCACTGTGGGTATAAATAGTGGGGGACCCCCAATCGCTTTCCATTGCCATTCTCCTGCGTTTCCTTCTAGAGCTCGCGTCCAAGTTTTAGCTCGCGTCAACCTTTCGTAGTCCGTTTGCTTTTTCCGGGTGAGTTAGTACTTTTTTCCTGGTATTCTTTTCCTCCCGATGTCTAGCTCGGACAACTTAGACAGTTTCTCGAGGGGGTCAGATGCAGGTTCTACGAACCGAGCTGCATCCCCCGACAGCCTTAGTGAGCCCGAGGTAGAGCTCGAGGAAGAGTTCGAACCCGTAGGCCAAGTCGTCTCGGGTAGTTTGGCGTCCTCCTCCCGTCGAGGTCGGACGTTAGACAAGTTTGGGCCCTCAACCATAACGCCAAAGGGGCTTTACTCCCTTATCACACAGTTCAACCTGCCTAGGGAGTATACTTATTTTATACCCTCGGGCGACTTCCCTTGGGAACACGGTCCTGACGAGATCGTGATATTCCGGGAGCAGCTCGTCGTCGGGCTACGCCTACCTTTCCACCCTCTCATCGTCGAGGTTACGAACCACTTCGGCGTCACCGTTGGTCAGCTCCACCCGAATTTTATCCGCAATTTGGTTGGGACTATCTCCCTCTTTTGCGAACACATTTTGCCTTTAGACCTGGAGATCTTCTCTTCCATTCTCATGCTTAAGAAGCAAGCGGGTCCCCTTCTCGGGCGTAGGCGGGCGTACTACCTGTCTCCTTACCCGAGGTTCAAGATTTTACATGTTCTTTCCAACAAGGTCCCGGCGTGGAAACGGGACTACTTCGGGGTACGAAGTGCAACGGGGTGGCCGTTCCAAACCGGGTAGGGGTTGGCTGCCCCCGACCCCAATGTTACGCTAGATAGGGAGACGGCGAAGGACCTCCGGGAATGGGCCCGACTCGGGCTAAAATGCTACCATTATCTGACGGAGGCCAAGCTCATCCAGGCCGGCCTGAGTTCAGGTAGGTTCCTTGCTCAGAGGCTTGCCTTTTATTTTGCTTTTCGTTCTTTCGTTTTCCTGATGCTGAGCTCTTTTTGCAGGTGTGATGGACGCAGAAAAGACTCGCGGTGGGAACCTGTTTCATGCCATGAAGAGGAGGAAACGAGTTGCCAAACGGACTCGTGCCGAACTGCCCCGAGATGCGGAGCCCGAGTACCGGGCTATCCGCCCGTGGATCCGCCTAGGGAGACCGAGATGGCCCCTCCAATACAAGAAGTGGCAGGGGCCCCTTACGCCAGGCTGCTTATACGGGGGCTCCTTACGCTGAGGCTGCTTATACGCGGGTTGGGCCTTCAGGCTCAAGAGGCCAAAGCGAGTTCAGGAGCGTGCTGTCGCCGAACCACGCTCTTCAAAAAAGTAGGGAGGCCATTTACCCTGAGGAGGTCACGGCGTGGACCGAGCTTCCTTTGAACCACGTAGCCGGGCGTGCTGCCTCTTATGCCATGGTGGTAAGTCAGCGACTTCTTGTCGGGCTCCTTGTCATTATCTTTCTCGCTATTGCTCTTTCAACATTCTCGTTATTTTTTCTTTTGGTATGTGAACTCCTCCATCCATGCCTTAACGGCCCAAGCGGAAAGGAGCTTGAGGCGAGCACGAGTTACCAAAGAGGCTTCCCGCGATGCCGAAGCGGCTTCTCGCGCTGCATAGGCTAGGCTGGCAAGGTCTCAGAGAGACACCGAGGCCATGGGAGTGGTGGTGAAGCACATGGTGAACCTGAGGCTGGACTTGCAGCATCAGGTCGAATACCTTCAGGAGGATATTAGGGAGAGGACAGAGATCTTTTCGCAGGGCATCGAGGATGCTAAGAAGAAGGTCGTTGAAGACTATCGCCTCGCCACGCTTTGACGACCTGATGGTGGGCTCATATAGAAGGGGTTTTAAACTGAGCCGGTGGATGATCAGGAACACGTACCCCGAACTCGACATCAGCGCCATAACTACTTCGCGCATTACTCGGGAGATGGCCAACGCGGCTGATGGTGAACCGGATTCTGAGGATGAGGCAGGACCCTCGGGTATCATTGAAGTGCCTTCCGAGGGTGAGGACTGAGATTTTGTAATGTAAACAAAGTATTTTGTAATGAAATATTCTTTTGATGAAGTGTTGTCACCCTCTTTTTTCCGAACTGACTATATTGCAGAACTGACTATATGCCTCTAATGATGAGATGCCGAGGTCCTTATCAGCTTGCTGTTAGCACTTTGCCTGTCAGCTTGGTGTTAGCATTTTTCCTTTGCGTGCCTATGCCGAAGAGGTGATAGTCTTATGGTGCCGAGGTCCTTGTTAGCTCGGCATTCTAACCCTCAGGCTCTGGTAGCGACTCCTAGTCCACTTCGCTTGGTAATTTATAGGTAGTATCGTCTTAAGTTAACGACGTTCCACGCTCGGGGTACTTGTTTGCCCTCTAATATTTCGAGCTCGTATGCTCCCCCGAGCGCTCTCTTTACTCGGTAGGGCCCTTCCCAATTCGGTCCAAGTTTGCCCACGCTGGGCTCGGGTGCCATGATCTTACGGAGAACCAGGTCGCCGACGCAGAAGTTCCGCTTTTTTACTCTGGCATCGTAGTACCGAGCTACTCTTTGCCGGTAAGTTGCGGTTCGGATGTACGCGAGGTCTCTTACCTCGTCCAGTAGATCGAGGTTGGTATGTAGCTCGTCTCCGTTTGTCTGATCGTCGTATGCTTCTAGTCATAGTGTAGGTACTTCGATCTCCGCCGGGATTACCACTTCAGTGTCGTAGGTGAGGTTAAAGGGGGTCTCTCCCGTGGCAGTTTTTTCCATAATTCGATGAGCCCATAGAACACTTGGTAGCTCGTCCGCCCACAACCCTTTAGCTCGGTCTAGTCGCGCTTTCAGCCCGCGGAGGATAGCTCTGTTCATCATTTCTGTTTGACCGTTTGCCTGCGGGTGCACGACCGATGTGAAGTTCTGCCGAATCCCCATATCTTGGCACCATTCCTGAAATTTGATGTCCTCGAACTGCTTGCCATTGTCGGAGATCAGTACCCGAGGTAACCCGAAACGACATACTATGTTCTTCCAAAAGAAGTTCTGTACGTTTCGAGTTGTGACTGTTGCGAGAGGTTCAGCTTCTACTCACTTTGTGAAATAATCTACTGCCACCACTAGGAACTTCCTCCCACCTGTTGCTGGTGCGAATGGCCCCAGGAGGTCGATGCCCCATTGCGCAAAGGGCCATGGACTGGTGAGATACTTGAGGTCGGCAGCAGGCTGATGGTGGATATTGGCATGCTTCTGACACTCGTCGCATTTTCTGACGAGCTCGATGGCTTCTGCCTTCATCGTTGGCCAGTAGTACCCTTGTCGAAGTGTTATGAGAGTTTTAGAGGGAGGCTTTTAGAAGCGTTTCCCACAGACGACGCCAATTGATGGAGCGCAATCCGGTCAGTCCTAGCTGTCAACGATCTTGCCTTTAACTGGAGCAAAAGGTGCCTGAAACAGGGAAGAAAGCGAATAGTCTCCGAGGAGGAACTCGGTGAGAGTGCTCTGAAGCTCAAATTAGTATTTCCTCAAAGGCAAGATAAAAAACCAGATGGCGCAAAGTTATCACGTACCTCTCTTCGTGGGGGGAAGGGAGCCTTTTATAACCACTTCGCGCACTCACTCCTAAGCTCTTGTCAAGTCGGGTATCATTGCCTCTGCACTTCTGCCAGTTCGGGTGTCATCATTTCTACTGGGGCAGACAACCGCCACTGCTCTCTTTGTTGGAGCCATCTCTGTAACTGGAGGTGGCGGTGGCAGGTGGCCGTTGAAGTGCGGTTGTCAAGCGTCAAATCCTAAGTCAGTCAGATGCGCCGCCTCAGGATACGGACTCCTTTAGTGTCAGGTACGGTTGTTTAGTTCGGCGGCCTGGAGACGAAGTGCCGGAGTGGTGTGCGAGGTGAAGTCTTGAGTTCGGATAGAAGTGTGGCCCGAACTGCCCTGGGGTGGGCCAGTTCGGGTTGTTGCCCTTTGCGCTCCTCGTAAGGCTTGGGGTCAAAGGGAGAGTTCGGGCTCCTTTTGGGGAGCTCGGACCGCTGGTTCCTCCTCTCGGAGCTCGCGCCTTGAGCATACTGCCGTGCCGAGCTGTTGCTCCTGCCAGGTCGCCATCGGTTGCTTCCACGTGTTGGGTGGCCAAGAGGTCGGGCCAAATCTTCCTCCATCAAAACCCATTTGCCAATTCTTGACAGCTAGATACCCAGATCCTTTACATCAAAATTCAAAAATTTCCAATTGTTTTGCTTTCCCTCTTTTGCTAAATTCTGTTTATCTGCCTTTTTCTTAAACTTTTTTCTCCTATATTCTATGTTTACACACAACAACAAATTGAAGAGAACTATATCTCTACAACTCATGGCATCAAAAATAAACAATCACAGAGGGAAAAAATGCAAAGAAAGAACCACTAGTATGTACCTACCGACCACTCCGATTTCTTCTGATTTCAAAAGAAAATAACTATGTACCTTCCTCACTTTCCTCCCATAGTGATAATTTTCCATCTAAACAAATGCATGCAACTGCATCACCATATTCTGGAGGGATCCAAGTAACTTTCGTAATACTTGTTTCATGTGCCTATAAGACAATTCATAATCAAAATATCAGGAAAAATTAAAAGGTTGTTGGAGAAGCAAATTTTGGAGGATGAATTTGCAGAGTAACTTTTGCGGTACCCTGCAGTGTTTATTGTTTATAGCTTTATGGGCCATCCGGCCATGACTCTCGCTGAAAATCATTTCGTATCAATGATCTTCTCATAAAAGGAAGAGGTGGAATAAGAACATTATCGAATAACAGTAGATATTTGTGCATATCGGTTTTTTATAGAATATCGGGAGCATGCTCAGCTATCAGAAGCTATCATCCCTCTACAAAACCAAGCTTAACAAAATAAACAGCATAACAATGAAGTTCATCGTACCAGAACCCATTTTTGTTTAACAATCTAAACAACTCCATCAAATTGAGAACATAAATAGTCCAAAACAAACTTGACCAATTAATCAATGTTTCAACAAATGAGGTGCTTTAATACTCATAATGTTCATACCAAAATCCTCAAATTAACACAAATACTCCACGGTATGAACCAACAGGGATAAATTACGCCGATTTGGAGTAGCTTATTCTACCAAGAGCATCGAAACCTTTTATTCAAGTTTTGGATCGATTACCACTTGGACAAGAAAATGAGAAAGGAAAGAGAAGAACTTCACGAACCTTACATCTTGACGTGCAGGTGAAGGTCGAAGAATCTGGGTCAGGAGAATAAAAAATCGCCAGTATTCCATCTGACGATCCCGTCGCCAATCTCTAGCCACAGTAGTTCCAAGAATAGCAGCATGTACCCTTGTCCAGCGTTACCAGAGATTTCTCCATGGCATTGCCTCTGCAAAAAGTCTGGTTTCACTATGAAATTTTATAGGGAGGCGGGGATGGAGGAGATGAGAAGAGGGAAGGGGCAGCAGAGAGGCAGGTCTTGAGAGGGAGCTCTCTCGAAAATTATTTCTTAACACGAGTGGGTTGCTCTCTTGTGCGAGCTAGACGAATGGAAAATCTCCAGCAAAGAAAAAAAAGGAGACACGGACGAAAACACAGGGGCCTTGAGTCCTTGAAAGCATGGAAAATCGAAAGCTCAGGCGAAGGAGCTGATGGATGGAAAATCTCCAGCAAAGAAAAAAAAAGGAGAGACGGACGAAAACACAAGGGGCTTGAGTCCTTGCAAGCATGGAAAATCGAAAGCTCAGGCGAAGGAGATGATGAATAGAAAATCTCCAGCAAAGAAAAAAAGAGAGACGGACGAAAACACAGGGGGCTTGAGTCCTTCGAAAGCATGAAAATTTGAAAGTTGAGGCGAAGGAGCTCTGTCGAAAGTTCTTTCTTAACACGAGTGGGCTGCTCGTGTTAAGATTTATATTTTACTTTTTATTTAATATTTTGTTCTATTAAATATATGCGAACTTTTTCTTATTCAATAAAAAGAATGTTTCAACCTAAACTAATGGCCTGTAAATTTGTTATTTGAGAAAAAATATGAAAAATATATGGAATAGACATACTGTCTAAAATATAAAGATTATGCTGGAAATTTAGAAAATGGAAAATATAAAATATAATTAAAATCCAAAATTTTCTTCCCAACCTAAACCAATGACTTGTGAAATTGTTACTTGATAAAAAAAAAAAAATATGACTAATATATCGAATAGACATGATTTCTAAATTATAAAGATATAAGTTATAAGTAATTTAAATACGCTAGAAAATATAAAAACATAAATAAAATCAAAAAGTTTTTCCTCATTTCTGTCACCTGAAATTTTCAAATTTTCTCCATTTATGTGATATGAAACCTCTACCATCAAGTATTTTTCTTCTTTACTTGGAAATTGCTAGTAATGGCACCATACGCCCAATTCTTGTTCATTCAATTTCTCTTGACCTCGAGTATTTTTCTTCTTTACCCAATGCCCCCAATTTTAGAACCTTGTATATCTTTCATATTCCTGATCATGAACATGAAATCATAATTTTAGTGATATAAGTGAGAAAAACCCCAACCATCTCAAATGTTTGAAACAAAGGAGACCATATGAAAAACAGCCCAAGGGCTAACGCTTACAACC